CCCAGAAATTGGTTGTGTGACCATGCAACTGTTCAAAGTTTCTTTAAAAATATTTTATTTATTTATTTGAGAGAGAGAGAGAGCACCAGTGGGAGTGGGAGGGGCAGAGGGAGAAACAGACTCCCCAGTGAGCAGTGAGCCTGAAGTGGGGCTCGATCCCGGGACCCTGGGATCATGACCTGAGCCAAAGGCAGATGCTTAACCAACTGAGCCACCCAGGTGCCTCTCATCCATTCTAAGTTTATGGTAAAGCACAGCCAAAAAGCCAGCACCAAGGTTTGCTGCCCCCAGCCTGTGTTTTTGTTCCTATGCTAGGGAACAGGGCAGCATGTTGGCACCACCGGTATTTTTGTCCCTAGAGAGGCTGTGCTACCACTCCCAAATGCACTCCAAGCAGGGGAAATGTTCCTCCGTGTGTGGCCCAGGGTATCCTCTGACCATGCTGCCCACTCCCAGATTTCCACCTTCCTCTCCCACCAGAGCATTGCCAAGCCCACCAGGCATGACCCTGGCGACGGTGTGGACCACCAAAACTTCAGACTTTGTGCTCCACTCTTTATAAAATCTTGCGGTAGATAGTCCCTCTCCTTTTTCCAGTCAGTGGTTTTGGGGAAGAATTCTTCTTGTGCGATCCCCTGTGTGTGCTTTCTCTCTCTCTCTCTCTCTCTCTCTCTCACTTTTCTGTGATCAGGGTTCCTTCCCCTTCATAGCACCTGTGATTCTTTTCTCCCCAAAATCAACTCTCCACAGCTCCTGCCTTCCACAATGTGGCTGATTTTCTATCTCTAGTTGTGCAGTTTTCTCTCTCAGTCCTCAGATCAATTTCTTGGGTGTTCAGAATGATCTGATATTTAACTAACTGTGTTTGAAGGATGAGGCAAGCTTAGAATACCCCTACTCTTCTGTCATCTAAACTTCTCCCCACCTCTCTATTGAGTATCAACTGCATTAGTATGCTCAGGTTGCCCTAACAGCTAACCATAACTGGGTGGTTTAAACCAAAGAAATTTATTTTCTTACAGTCTGAAGTCTGGGAGTCCCAGGTCAAGGTACTGGTAGGGCTGATTTCTAGTGAGGCATCTTTTTTTGGCTTACATATGGCTGTCTTCTTGTTGTATCCTCATATGGTCTTTCCTTTTTGCATGCACTGCTGGTGTCTCTTTCTCTTCTTTTAAAGAACACCAGTCCTATAGAATTAGGCCCCCACCCTTATGACCTCATTTAACCTTAATCATCTCCTTAAATGCCCTATCTTTAAACACAGTTACTTTGGGAGATTAGGGCTTCAACATTTAAATTTTGGATGCAGTTGAGTCTGTAACACCAGCTATGTGCCTGCCACTGTCATAAGTGCTTTGGACACATTAGTGAACAAAACAAAGATTCTTCTCCTTGTGGGGCTTATATTAGGGAGAGGTGGAAAACAATAAATAATTATATATAAATAAATTATGTAGTATGTTAGAAGGCAGTGAGTGTTATAGAAAAACAAAACAAAACAACAGGTGAAAGGGATCTGGGCTTTGGGGTAGGTGACAGTTTTAAAAAGGGCAATCAGATTAGGCCCTCTTGAGTAGCTGACATTGAGCAAAGCCTTGAAGAATATGAGGGAGTTAACAGTATAGATATCTGCTCTTGTTAAATCTGGTATTTATTCGGTTGAGAACAACAGGCATTATTAAGAAACTTTGAAAGACATGATTTAGAGCCAGATAACCTTGGTTTAAGTTCTAACTTTGTGTGACTCAGGGCAACTTAGCCTCTGCACTAAATTATATAACCAACACCACAATTTTAATGAATTCCAGATGCCAGGATATTTCAGAGCTGATTATCCCTGTTTCAGATGAGCACTGAGAGAATAAATTACTGCAAGGTTGAATTTGAACCCCATTCAGGAATCACTGTCTAATTGCTAAACTTATCAGATATGTATAGTTTCTCTGCCTAGCCCCAGAGGTGTTTCATTGTTCCCTTGGTTTCACTGCCTGGCTATAGCCTAGTACTTACTTTGGTGTGGAAGATAGGAGTGACCTCATTAATTATGTTGATAAATAAATAAATAAATAAGGGTGCCTGGGTGGCTCAGTCATTAAGCGTCTGCCTTCGGCTCAGGTCATGATCCCAGAGTCCTGGGATCAAGCCCCGCATTGGGCTCCCTGCTCAGCCGGAAGCCTGCTTCTTCCTCTCCCACTCCCCCTGCTTGTGTTCCTGCTCTAGCTGTCTCTCTCCATCAAATAAATAAATAAAATCTTTAAAAAAATTATGTTGATAAACATGTCTGTCAGAGGCATTCCAAAAGCCTTTTCATTTGAGTGTAGGGATTAGTGTGCTTTTGGGTGAGGAAAAGTTGTTGATGAAATTCAGCGGCTCTTCACTAATGTAAAATATCAAGTAATAAGTATTTATGAAGCATGCTTAGACTTGCACTTTGCTCAGCAGCTAAAAAAATAATTCTGTCAAATCTTAATTATCCATATTAATAAAAAATAAAAATATCAAAGGACTAACATACAGAAAATCTATAAACTCTCACTACAGAAAGGGAAAGATAGCAGAAGATACCAAAAGTATAAAGTGGGTAATACAGGGATATCCCCTCCTCTTTTTTAAACAAAATGTAAATAAACAAAATATAATTTCTTAGATTCCCTTATTCTGTAAATGAAATTCATCTTTTATGTTAGAGCCTGGGCTGAGTTCTGGAAGGATAGTAGCAAATAACCTGGTCCCTGATTTTCTAGGAGATTACAGTCTAGTCATCAAGAGAAAAAAGTAAACCAACACAACCCAGTGTGTCAAGGCCATGGTAGCAGTATGTACAGGGAATTCTGGGACCCCAGCAGGAAGCACCTAGCCCAGGGCAGAGGGTGAGTGTGACAGGCAGAAAAGGTTTATAAGAGCAGCCAAAACTATGCCTTCACACTGTCATTCAGTAAACATAATTAAGCAATCTTGGCGTGTTAAATAGACCCTTGTGCTAAACTTTCTGGATGAAATGCATTCCAACTTTTGAGGATTTAGACTGGAGTAAAGGGAAACACATATAAACAAGCTCACTAATGTGTCATTAGGTACCGAGGGGGAAGTTATGTAAAGAATGCAGTAGCAGCACAAGTCCATTCCACTCTGTTTAGGGTTAGTGGTGTGAGGAAGTGTGCAGTGTCTGGGATGATGGGCAGGTGTGCAGCTTGTGGTGGGGGGTAGTCAGGCCATTGAAATAGATAAAACACCCTGATTAAAGGTAAGGGAGCAGGCACAGTTAATTTGTAGAAGTACAAGTAGTTCAGTTTGGCTGCAGTTGATGGTGTGTGAAGGGGGAGAGGGAATAAAATGGAGAACAGAAACAAGGTAAGCAAGGCTTTGTATGCTCTGGGAAGGTATTGGCTTATTCCATGGACCTGTGGATATTTGTGAGGCAGAAATAAGATAAACATTCAGGGACCGAATGAGGGAAGCAGAAATCTAGTTTTGGAACCATTCTAGCTTCAGTGTGGAGGCTAGACCAGAGAGAGAAGGCATGAAGGTAGCAGGTACCAGTTATAAGTTTCACATTAGTCTGGGTACCAAATGAATCAAGACTGTGTTAAGTGAGAGAAGAAGAGAGAAATGTGAGAGGAAAAATAATTTTCAAGACTTGATAACTGACTGTATGACAAGGATATTTTGGAGGAAAGGGGCCAGCATGACTCATTGTCTTCCATTGGTGAGATTGTGTTGTTAGCCAAGATTTCCATGCAATATGGATTGTTCAACAGAAGGTAGAGTTTAACAAACTTTGAGACCTCTGAGAGTATAAATTTTTCCATGTATTTTACATTCCTTGAGTGTAAGTACCTCATTTCTTAATGTTTTAATCTGTCTTAGTGTAATTTTGTAGAATATAGTAAAGTAATGCCTTCAACCTAAATTAACCTGATGTATAAAGTGCAAAGATGTATGCAAACCTTTGGGTTAAAAAAACACTGAAAAATGACCATTCTTATGGCCTATGCATATTAAAACAATATTAGATTAGTGATGCTAGAACTTTTATAGTTTTTATGTTCTCTTTCAAAAGAAAACTAGCACTGGTATCATAGGAATATAAGCTACGATAGCAGTTTTACCTGGAAAAAAAAAAAGCATAACTGGTTTCCTTTTATGGCTAAATTCAAATAATATAACTAGTAGTGGTAGCTTCTTCGATTATTAATTTATTCTACAACAGAGAGCTATCCTTATTTCATGTATTATAGCTGTTCAAAGACTGAGGTTTAGAGATGGAGTGAATTTATAAGAGCTAACTCTATAGGGAAAGTTTTATGATAGTGTTTCATCAATAATGCTCAGTTGACAAAGTAATTGCGATTTCAGGCCCTTTTGGCCTGAAGAGTTTTTGTTCTGAATCTGTGGTTTAAATGCATAACAAAAGAAAGGAATCTTTAATGGTACTTGCTTTGAAATTAGAATGTGATTACTTTAAAGCACTATGGATAGTTTTATTGCCTTAAACTATTGCCTTTAACTGCCATTCTTTTTTAATGGTCTCTACAACTGCATGCTGTGAGAAGAAAAGCTAGTCAGAATTCACTTTGGTTGAGAGTTAGGTGAAGACCTGTGGAGAATTGCAGGAAAGATCTTATTTTTTTGACCTAGTGATCATTAGCCCTTTCTATGCCTTCCCTAAAGCTTGACACAGGGGTGTTTCCAGCACAACATTTTTAGCCTAATTGGACCAACTAGCAGTGTAAGACTATCAGAACTTTCATTTTATGGAGCTGAATGATTTTTGAGAGAGGACTGATGGAGTCACTGTGTGAACATACCTCACACATAGATACATCTTTCTTACATTCCTTGAAACATGGTAGAGGCATAGGAACTGTTTCTGACATACAATGGAGTCTGAGATCTTTGTCGTCTGTGAGACTGAAAAGAATAACAGTATCTGTTTTCTGAAAGGGTTGTGATTTCCCAGGAGTTTGCCCTAGAAACAGGTCAAGATGAAGAGACCCTACCCGGCCATACATGCTCTGGTATGCCTCTGCAATCATCAGCCTTTGTGCATTACAGCGTTGAGTTAGAATGTTGATCAGCATGTCTTTGTCACAGCCTGGAAAAGAATAATATTTGAAGATTAGTAAAGTTGCTTTTCTGTAGTTTGGAAGAAGCCATTATCTAAGGATCAAAAACTATGGTGCTCGCATTATCTCTGATGGTACTTTAAAGCAGTGAGCAATTTTAACTAAAATTGGAAATCACAGAGCAACACTTGATGAAGGCTAGGTTCCTATCTCTCATTTTGGTGCTATGCCTACAGATTTTCCTTTAAAAAGATCCAATTAAAAAATACAGAAGAATAAAAAATATGGTCTTTCTTCAGTCACCTTTCCTACCCACCAAAAAAGGCTTCCTTGACCTTCAAGCTGATTAGTATTTAAACGGGTACAATATCTTTCTCATTTTACAGTTAAGGAGATAGAATTTATAATGAACATACATTAAGACAAAAATAACAGCTACAGTTCAAAACCTCCAGAAGAAGGAAGAGTAATGGACAAGGAAAGTATAAAAGTACGAGGGCTGTGTAACCTTCTGAGGGACTGTGTGAACCTCTTATGGTTGGCATGGAATATGGCCTCTTTCTCCGGTAACTGAGGCTGTTTCTGGGCTGTATGAGGCTTTTGTTTCCTTATATGCCAACTTACTGTACTGGCATGACACCCGAATGCACAACTAGTTCAGACAAATTTAGCTCTAACTATAGTCATAGTAGAATGACCAAAAAGGCCTTAACATTTCCCTCAGCGTGACTAAAATTTAGACAGGTTTCTTTGTGACTGTATGCCTTTGATCCCCCTTTTCTGAGAGCATTTACTTTGGAAAACTTGCAATTATAAATTCTTCTTTACTCCTTTGAGATATAAATCTGCCAATCACTTGCCAGTTTTACAATCCAGAAATGTCTTTCCCAAAATATTGGGAGCTATCTCTTTGAAATATAGTCATCAAGAAAGATAGAATCCCTATCTCCTAGTCTCTGTGGGCAGATAGGAACCTAACTTTCTCAAGAACTAATTAGCAAAAACAGATGACCTAACTGCATTGACAAACACCCACAACTCCCAGTGTTCTCCAGTACTTTTCAACTAGTCTCTCACCTCCCCCTGTGTGCTTAAAAACTCTCTTGCCCTTTGTTTCAGAGGAATTGAGTTCTTTCCTCTGTTGCTAAAGTCTTGATTTCTGTTGCAATAGTCTTGAATAAAGTCTTCCTTGCCTGTTTAGTTCTGTGTTACAGATTTTCTTTGACAAAAGTAGATATTTAATGGAGAAGAGGAGAAAAAGGAATTGAAAGCCTAGGATGTTAAGCAGATCATCTTTTTGGAAATTAAAGCCATCCTGGATGCCCTTGGTTCTTAGGAAAGCTGAGTCAGGTCCTGAAATATCTAGTGAATGAGGGCTAGTGACTAGGATTTACATAGATAACTACGCCCTGTGAAACAAAAGAAAGAGCAGGGTGTTTTATGCAGGTGAGAGAAATGATAAAATGGAAGGAGGGAGGCATAGAATCAGCTCCAAACACTGAAATTTATGGTTTATGAGAGGCATAGAGCAACATATTGCCCTGGGCCTAGCTTGTTAATGCCCTGGACTCAAAGGACACTAAGGAGTTCTGTAGGAGTCTGTTAACTGCATGATGGGAATTCCAAAGGGGACAAATTTTTAATAATAAATAGAAGATTTTTTCAGTTATATCCATTGTTATTTTTACTGTCTTCATATTTATATTATTCTTATAGTCTTCTGTTTTTTTGTGTTGTTCTGTTGAGATTATCTACAACCTACCTCTCTGACTGTATCTCCATTTTTCAAAGTGTTCATAGCAATTCTTGCTCATTTATTCTACCAGGATATTTCAGATTAATTTTATATGAATCTCAAAACTTTATTAAAAATTTTTAATTAAAATAACTGTAAATTTAGGAATCCATTTTGAAAAGTTTTTTTGTCACTATATCTGCTGAATTTTTTCATTGTTTTTCTTTTCTGAAAGATTTAGTAAAGGTTTGTGGAGTTTTTGTAAATGGCAAGAGACTTTATTTTGTTAAAAAATATTCATATTTGCATTTATATTGACATTAAAGTTACTTTATTTTGTTTCTTAACACATAATTGCTTAAATAAGTGACATTGAATTTTATAAACATAAAATTACCTTGTGTTCAAAAAAAATTACTGAACTCTCATTATTTTTAATAACTTTTTCATTGATTAGCTTAGATTTCGAGATACAAACAATATACTCTGCACATAATAAAATTTTGATTTCTCCTTTACAGTCATTTTAAGTTTTTCTTATTCTCTTGCATTCTGACAGGAATTCCTAGGTAATTCTTATTTCCTGGTTTAACAGAAAAGCATGGCATAACAAACCATAGCAATTTTATAGGGTTCGATGATACACAGTGATTCTTGTTATTTGTGGTAGTTTTCTACAAAGTTGTTATGAATACTGAATTAATAGATGCAGAACTATTGCTCTGAGGGGAAATACACAGATTTCAACAACCTCTGATCATAATATTTTTGTCAACAGAAATGCCATTTACAACATATATGTTTGTTTGCCAATGTCCTTAAAAAAATAAGCCTGTCTCATCAGCATTGAAATCCTTCTTTTTCTGATACACTTTTCCTGTATAAAATTTAGGAGGTGATTTTAAAGAATATCTTAAGGAGGTATTCTTCTACAGTCTACTGATCTACAGAACTTGTTCACCTGAAAGTTTAACAGTTTTTATGCTGTATCACCTTTTTTTAAAAATTTTATTTTATTATGTTATGTTAATCATCATACATTACATCATTAGTTTTTGATGTAGTGTTCCATGATTCATTGTTTGCGTATAATACCCAGTGCTCCATTCAATATATGCCCTCTTTAATATCCATCACCAGGCTAACCCATCCCCCCATCTACCCCCAGAACCCTCAGTTTGTTACTCAGAGTCCATAGTCTCTCATGGTTTGTCTCCCCCTCCGATTCCCCCCTTCATTTTTCCCTTCCTACTATCGTTTTTTTTTTAACATATAATATATTATTTGTTTCAGAGGTACAGATGTATGATTCAACAGTCTTACACAATTCACAGAGCTCACCATAGCCCATACCCTCCCCAATGTCTATCACCCAACTACCCCATCCCTCCCACCCCCCACCATTCCAGCAACCCTCAGTTTGTATCCTGAGATTAAGAATTCCTCTGTATCAGTGAGATCATATGATACATGTCTTTCCCTGATTGACTTATTTCACTTAGCATAATACCCTCTAGTTCCATCTATGTTGTTGCAAATGGCAAGATTTCATTTTTTTGATGGCTGCATAATATTCCATTGTGTATATATACCACCTCTTCTTTATCCATTCATCTGTCGATGGACATCTTGGCTCTTTCCATAGTTTGGCTATTGTGGACATTGCCGCAACAAACATTGGGGTGCATGTACCCTTTTGGGTCACTACATTTGTATCTTTGGGTTGAATACACAGTAGTGCAATTGCTGGGTTATAGGGGAGCTCTATTTTCAACTTTTTGAGGAACCTCCATACTGTTTTCCAGAGTGGTTGCAGCAGGTTGCATTCCCACCAACAGTGTAGGAGCGTTCCCCTTTCTCCGCATCCCCGCCAACAACTGTCGTTTTCGGACTTGTTAATTTTAGCCATTCTGACTGGTGTGAGGTGGTATCTCATTGAGGTTTTGATTTGAATTTCCCTGATGCCGAGCGATGTTGAGCACTTTTTCATGTGTCTGTTGGCCATTTGGATGTCTTCTTTGGAAAAATGTCTGTTCATGTCTTCTGCCCATTTCTTGATTAGATTAGTAGTTCTTTGGGTGTTGAGTTTGATAAGTTCTTTATAGATTTTGGATGCTAGCCCTTTATCGGTTATGTCATTTGCAATTATCTTCTCCCATTCTGTCGGTTGTCTTTTGGTTTTGTGGACTGTTTCTTGTGCTGTGCAAAAGCTTTTTATCTTGATGAAGTCCTAATAGTTCATTTTTGCCCTTGCTTCTCTTGCCTTTGGCGATGTTTCTAGGAAGAAGTTGCTGCGGCTGAGGTCAAAGAGGTTGCTGCCTGTGTTCTCCTCTAGGATTTTGATGGATTCCTGTCTCACATTAGGTCTTTCAACCATTTTGAGTCTATTTTTGTGTGTGGTATAAGGAAATGGTTCATTTTAATTCTTCTGCATGTGGCTGTCCAATTTTCCCAACACCATTTGTTGAAGAGACTGTCTTTTTTCCATTGGACATTATTTCCTGCTTTGTTGAAGATTAGTTGACCCTAGAGTTGAGGGTCCATTTCTGGGCTCTCTATTCTGTTCCATTGATCTATGTGTCTGTTTTTGTGCCAGTACAATGCTGTCTTGATGATTATGGCCTTGTAATAGAGCTTGAAGTCCGGAATTGTGATGCCACCAGCTTTGCGTTTCTTTGTCTACATTCTTCTGGCTATTTGGGGTCTTTTCTGGTTCCATATAAATTTTAGGATTATTTGTTCCATTTCTTTGAAAAAAGTGGATGGTATTTTGATGGGGATTGCATTGAATGTGTAGATTGCACTAGGTAGCATAGACATCCTCACAATATTTGTTCTTCCAATCCATGAGCATGGGACGTTTTTCCATTTCTTTGTGTCTTCCTCAATTTCTTTCATGAGTATTTTATAGTTTTCTGAGTATAGATCCTTTGCCTCTTTGGTTAGATTTATTCCTAGGTATCTTATGGTTTTGGGTGCAATTGTAAATGGGATCGACTCCTTAATTTCTTTCTTCTGTCTTGTTGTTGATGTATAGGGATGCCACTGATTTCTGTGCATTGATTTCATATCCTGCCACTTTACTGAATTCCTATATGAGTTCTAGCAGTTTTGGGGTGGAGTCTTTTGGGTTTAGAAACATAAAGTATCATATCATTGGCAAAGAATGAGAATTTGACTTCTTCTTTGCCCATTCGGATGCCTTTCATTTCTTTTTGTTGTGTGATTGCTGTGGCTAGGTCTTCTAGTACTATGTTGAATAGCAGTGGTGATAGTGGACATCCCTGCCATGTT